TTATTTTCTCAGTTCTGAAACTTCAGCCCTTTATTGGAGCCTTATGTACTGTATACTTTTTCAATTTCTAATTTTATACAATTTTATATATTCCATCGATTTTAAAAACAGACAACTGGCTTAAGGGGGTATTCTGGTCTAAAAAAATTTCGAATTTTTATCGCATATTTTCATAGTTTGACTATTCAAGAATATGTCTACGAGAGGATTTTCCAAAATTCAAATTGGTTTCGGGGATATAAGTATCTTGCTGAGCAGGCATCCAAATCGGTTGGGCTGCAACTAATCGAACAAAAGACCTAATGGGTTCTCCGTATACCGGAATCGATATTTCTTAGTAAGCCCTTTTGTTGCGTTATATCTATCTATCTATCTATCTATCTATCTATCTATCTATCTATCTATGTATATATATATATGTGTGCGTGTGTGTGTGTGTGTGCGTGTGTGTTTTACGAGTGCATCAGCAGGAAAATTGAGGAAATCAACTTATGAAGAGGTGATTATAGATGATAATTAGGGCTACCGTGTTTAGGAGTTTTTCACGGTCTTTTCAGCAATTTCTTCGTTTGCTTCGTGTACTACATACAACAACGAGATTAGATTTTCAAAAACGGCTCAACGCGGACTCGGGTTCAAAATTGCATTAATTGACAAATCCTTCGAAGTTTATCATCAGAAGAGTTATTGATTCGATGTTTGGGTTCAGATTGAATAAATGTAGGTTAAAAATATAATTTTATGACTAAGACTGCAAAAAATTTTACTTGAAACTTTAAACGCGTTTTCCTCAGAACTGTTTTTTGAATCTGATACCCACGATTCCTCAGGTTCTGCCAAACCGATTTACTTGAAATTTTAAGAGTCTTCTTTAGGGACTTCTTGATGTCCGGAACAACGGCCATCCCCAAATTTTAATTTTTACTATTTCTAAAAAATCGAAGAATGTTCAAAAAAGTAGTTCAAAAATGGTTTTTTCCTTTGACGGTCGCCATTTTGTAAAAAAATATATCTGAAACTTTTCCGTAGTTCCGGACATAACAACATTATTGTAGATTGATGACATTTTTTATTTTTGATTTCAGATTGCTTGGTCATGTATTGAAAATTGATAATAAAAATATTGCTTGCTTTTTTTACAGCACTTCAAAAATGACCTAAAATTCATGTCTCTAGACCAGAATACCCCTTTAAGGTCATAAGTTAACAAAGATTCCTTCATAAATCCGTAAATTACTCGTGATATTTCTACTTATCTTTACTATTTATAATCCAATAATGACTTTATCCAATGACAAAAATTGGTTTATCAATACCTAATCATTTGATCTGATAAAAAACTGAGTTGTAGCACAATTAATTAGATGACTTTTAAAACTATTTGGTATAAATTCGTCCTCCACTCCACCTCCCAAAATAAATAGTTCACTATTTCTGTCTACTTAATGCGTATTAAAGGCTCTGATTGCCATGAAACTCGATAAAATATTTATGAAGAATTTGTTACTAAAAGTATGTGTTTTTTACGAACATCTGTATTTGCTTTATTTACCATTTTATTCAAAGCATTACAACTTATAAAGCAAAGTAATCACACTTATAAGTCTCAATTGAGACTATGTAATTCTGCCATATACATATTTCAAATAACAATTAGTTAGAGTTTTCCTCTGTTTGATGTTATATACTTGAGTGATATTGGAATACTTTCATTCTTTCTCGTCCACCCGAACATAATATTCAGCAATCGATGTGAAATAAGCTTTCATTTCCAAAAAATAATGTTCTAATAAAGTCTTTGATATGCACAACTAACTGATAGTTAATTTATTCCGTTATATATAGCCTAAAGAAATAAGCTTATACAATACATTCCGTGACTCCGTTAATATTTTATTATTAATATTTTAACCTTATCAATCATGTTTGAACAATTTATCTACTTATATAATTGTTTATTTATTTATCCTATTAATATATAACATGTTTTATAACAGTTGCTAAATAATATCAAGAGCTTTAAACTCGTAAAATAATATTTATAACAAATTTAATTTAATTAATGAACCGAAATTGGTCACAACACATTTATTGTTATCTTTAAATTTTAAAAGAAATGTGTCCTTGAATCATTTGCTTCTATCAAAAATGCTTTTGCTAAAAAGTGGCAGTTTTGATTTCGGTAGCTATGAATCGTTGGTGTAATGGGTCGACAGTTGAATACTGTTTTCATGAAAGAGCGCTAACTCACGATGCTCATATGTACAAGGATAATCGTAATTCTATTATTCTTAATTTAGATAATTTAGCTCGGGATCTATATTGGCAGATGTCTAATCTTTTAAATCTTTATAGTAAACCACGCAATGAAGAAGTTAGGACAATAATTGTCCCGTATTAGTTTAATAAACTCACTAATATTTTTAGAAATAATGCTATGCGATATTCGGCCGAAATTACTGTTCAAGCTTATGCCCAAATTTGTCCAACTAATATGTGTGGTTGATTATTCTTTAGTGATCTTTGTAGAAAAAGGATTTTCGTTATAGCACCACATGAGCGGTTTGTGGCAAACAAATTTTTATTAACATCTTGCGATTGCATTTCAACTCCAAGTTATAATATTTCCGTTGATTGCGAGGGTTTGTCATCCAAGAATATCTTTATATTATAATTAGTAAACGAAGAATTATATAGAACTGGAGGATGCGAGTTTATTTCCCGCTTGGATGATGAGAAAAATCTGGGTGTTGAAATTCAGTTACCATTTATTACGGCGTTAATGGGAGGGTAGATCTGTTTAACAACTAAGGAGCCTTCTATAGACAAAAAGGCAAATTTACGATCGTTCCTATATACGTCGGATTCATTGAGTTCAAAAATATTGCCTGGTTCGCTATGAAGCTAATGCCTTATTTTAAAAGCAAGGAAAATCTTTTCATATTTTCGCTTAGTCTAACACATTGGGGTAAGTATATTGATTTCCCCAACGTTCTGTTCCGATAAGGAAGTATCTATGGATACACTGAATTGAAGGAATCAAAACCGACTATTTTGGACTCTATTAAAGATCACGATTTATGTGCAATCGAGGCTCTGAAAACACTTAATTTTAGGGCTTTTGATCTTCAGATATGTCTTGCTAAAACGCCTCTCCCAGAATTCCATCTTTGGGGCATATTTTTGAAATTGGTGCAAACGTTTTTTGAAGAAGAGGAGTATCGATGTCGAAAATTGCCCGATGAGCAATTTGCGAAGGCTTATCAGGAAATAGGCCAACTTCAGATTCATGGTCTATCTTGGTCTTTACCAGAATTAACAAAAGAACGCAGTTCAATTTCCTTTGCATCGATATCACTTCGAAGGTTCTTTAAAAAGTGTTGGGAAGATCCTTTAAAGCCTAACAGTGAAAACGATGCATCCTGCCCTTAAATGTTATTTTTATTTTTTTTGCAGTAATAAATTTCTTTTTGAACTCATTTTAGTCCATATGTGCTTATTTAAGCGATACTGTCTGAATTGATTCTCCCACTTATTCCACTTTCAGAGAATAAAAGGTGAATATTTAATTGATACCATTGAAAGAATGTAACTATCCTGCAATCTTTCACCAAGCTCAATTCTGAACTCTCCTGGTCTTGCGCTGTATATTCACAGGAAATTTTTATTTAAAAGTGCAGTTGTAAGCTCATTGACTGTAAATTGAATTTTAAAGGGCAGAATGCAGACATTTTCGGAACTGAAAACGAATAGTTTATTCAAGACAGTTGCGAGGAAATACAATCCCCGGGACTGAAATCAGTAATTTCAAAGCAGCCGAAGTTGGAAATTGAATAGAATGAAGACGTCGTGGTATACTCACACTGGTTCATCCTTTCGAGCCCTTCAATTGTCCATTAATCATTTCATCAGTTTCTCACCAAACTCTCTTACTATGCAACAATAAACCACCATTATCATGTCATACGTGTCACAATATCAATGTTAACGTCATTTCTATGGAGACGATGTCGTGCTACTGATCTCCTTGGGGGCAATTGTAAAAAGAGTGTAGAGACCTCTCAGCGAAGCAATAATCAATATTTGTTAATTGCATTGTGGTAATGTTCCATAAGGATGATATATGACTTCCTCATTCTAAGTTCTGTGTTCTCGCTACTTTTAAAGAATCTTTGCGAAGTTCGAGATCCATTTTATGTTAGGGGATTTTAACAGAGATGATTAGTGTGGTTATTTCTGACTACCATTTCTTATTCAATCTACCTCCTAACTAACGGAATTCATTTTAACAAATTCATGCAAGTATATATAAGTTGGTAGGCTACTTCAACAGCGCAAAAGGAAACAGAGCGTCTTTTGCAGTTTACAGGATACTGGCAAAGCTCGGTCATTAAAATATGAATAGGGCATTCTAATAATGCGTTAAGTATTGATTGCTGGTTGAGTGGGAGTTCTCAACATTCATGACCCCACTTGCTCCCTTCACTATCAGCAACACGGCCGCACTAACTCATTATCTGATCAGTAGTATAGCCTCACTTTTCAGACTATTCGAGCGCGCATGCATTTTTTTGTATGACACTCTTCAGGTCAATTAAATAATCAAAAAATCAAACGAATACTTGTGGTCTGTCCTACAAATGTTCACAGTTTTATAGTTGTATGGCGCTTTTAAAAAAGCCAAAAGGACTTATCTTTACCACGCAGTATACAATATATATAATGGGGGGAATATGAAATACAATAATGCTGAAAGCAGTAGCAGATAAATTGAGCAAAATCATTATCATGAATAGCGAATCTTGAATATACGGTTTTCAGTTCCCTAGCGGTTCATTTATTTTCTTGAATGGATCCATTTCTTTCATGCTTTTGGAAGGAGGCACAGATTTTTCTGCATTTTCATCAATTTCCATTGGCACAGGGGACACACGAACAATAAGTTTGCCACTCCTGTTGCCAGTAGCAACCGATCCTTTCAGCTTGTCATCTTTCTCCTTTAAAAATGATAGATATTCCTTCATCTGTAGTTCAGAAACTTCAACAAGACGCTCTAGTTCCGAAATGGTTATATTCTCCTTCGATTTTGTTGGAGTGGTTGCAGGACTGGTCTGGGAGAATATATCTGATTCCTCATCCTAAAATAGAGTGCTACTTATATTAAATCAGTAAGAAATAAGTAGTAAGTGTGAATCCAAATATTTCGAGGCAATAGACTAGGGTACATGATATTTCTATCATGGGGTGCCCGATAGACTTACCTCCTCGTGGTGCACCCTGGGCAACGTATACTCATACGGCAAAAAAGTCTAATAAAGGGCGATTAACTTCTGGCTTAAAACTACAATGGCCCAACTGCATGCCATATTCTACCAATTCCGCAGTACTCATCCTACCTTTTCTCTGCCTTCGTGTCTGTCTCTTTACATCTGTAAATCACTCTTCTGTTCCCCACCCCTCGACTTTCTGTTACTTTGATGTTCCTTCCTCCTGTGAAGCCCGAAGTCAGCTAAAGGGCTAATGATAACTATCAAAACGCCTGCCATTTGAAATAAATAAATATTTCTACCATATTACCAAACTTCGCATAAATATATAACCCT